AAGCAAACAACGCGCGAGAATGACGAATCTCGTACTCGTAGTCGTACTCGTAGTCACTGCTAAAGCTCTCTATTAATTTTTACTTAACAACAAATTAATTATTAATCAACAAACAATAAATTCAATTACTAAGCAATTCGCACAGAAAAGGTGCATGGGGCTAATTTAAACGCCCTACCGAATATACTAATATACCTTTACATTAGGCTCGCGTGAGAAAACGGGGGGGGAGGAGGGCGGGTTTCAAATTCGATCTGTAATGACCTTGTCGAAGCGAGGAGCAGAATGAATTGGCAGCACATTCTGCTCTTTATCTATATTGACCCTCATCTCCGCTCTCCCACGCGTTACCTATATGCATGTCATCAGAATTCTAGGGAAATTACCCGCGTGTCAAACTAAAGTATTTAATCTACTTTAAGTCTCAAGTGCAGGAAGCAATAAATTCTTTATTGGTATGCCAATAGTTCCTTCAGCCCCGAATCTTATTTAAATATCCTGTACTTTTCCAAATCTGAAAATGCAGAAATTTAACAAACGGAATTTTCCAGTTTCGTACCATTTTAAAATTCGGAGTTAGGATTTATATATTGGCAATTTTATATATCTGAACAGCCCTGAAGTTCACTTTTATTTGTAGAATATTGGCTGCGATCGATTTGGACAAAACGTGTGTATTTGCATGCGATTAGGATAAACACCGCTTTACTAATATTTTGGCATCAGACGTCGCCAGATCAGACGTGACGCTTTGCCCAAACTTTAGTCACGATAGCCTAGCTCTCTGTTTGATTTGTATGGCCCATTTATATAGGATGAAGTAGTATAAAAGTAGGATTTTTCCCCTGTCTGAGGAGTATATCAACTTGAGATCAATATGTCTTCTATTTGGTTTACCAGCTTCATATATGATACCTCGTGTTGTTACACACGCAAAGATATATAGACGTGAGTAGCTTTTTAGAAATGATGTCTAGGCCCCTATATATACATTGCAATTCACTCGTCTGCCATGCATCATTCGCATATATTCCCATGGCAAGATTGTGGCGCATATATATGAAATCGAAGCTCCATACATCGTTTATGTATTGACAAAAATAGATTTAAAATCGCACAACGGAAGCTAAATGAAACATTCGCATGTGATGGTTCTAGGGGGAATTAAGTTACGTAACAAGGCCAAGTAATGTGAAATGTAGGCGATCAAAACGACGAGTTTACAATTAAACTAGCTACCGCCAGCGAAAAACGTCAAAAGTCTAAATGAAAATTATTTCAACTTTTATATATGTGGTTAAGTATATAAGTTTAACTCTTCCGTTCTTATAAGATTTTAAAGCGTATACGTTATATATAGACTTCCTCATGTTTTTATATATACTGACTTCCTCATGTTAAACTATTGTATGCGAAGCATGTGTTATACTCGTGTGTAGATCGATATTAAATAAATTCGCAATTCTTGCAATGCATTAAATTGTTTGCTCCTTCATTTGTTTGGGTATTTTGAAGGTTCCTTAAAGAACCTGATTACGCGTTCGTCTACGAGTCGACCCATACAGTTTCATCAATTACGATTAATGAATGAATGACACCAAATGAATGGATGGAACTATTCGGGTGGGTGCGTGAGTGCGCGCATAATATCAGGTTCTTCCAGGAAACTGACAGCGCAAATTTGACTTTTTCAGACGCAGCATCTTCGTATTGCAAATTTAGCTTTCAAGTTCTCATCCCCAAACCTATATCGAATGACACAAGAACAAACCCGGAAAATTCAGAATGATTGGTAAATTCAATTTCCCCCCTTGGTTGCTAAATGTTCAACCACCTAACTAAGATCATCAAAAGTGCACTCTTGCACCTTTTATGCGGATGTTGAAGTTTACCCCGTGGTGAAGCTTATAACTTGTTGTTCTGTTTCAGAACAATGTACCTTCAGCACTTAATGAAGTCTTGAACGTACTAATTGTCTGCAGACATCGTTTATACACAAGCCGATATGAAACTCTATCGTTAGAATAAAAATTACTTATTGGTTTCCGTGTTTGGTAGCCTGATCCAATTGGACACGAGTTATTGCGAGAGTTAGAAAAATGCGCGATTTTTCGAGCTTTTCCTATACTCAAGCAACGTTTCCAGGTGTTCAGATATAATATAATATAATATAATATGTATGCAAATATAATGTCATAATCATTTGTATTTGATGTTTTGTTGTCTGGCTATACTGAGTATGTGAACAATAAGTCTAGTAAGGGAACGCAGTATTGCTTTTAACAATGCTTGCCTGATACAGTGCTGTAAAACAGACCTTTATTCACACGATTGCTCATTAAATGAAGCACGAGGGATTTAATATCACTATAGGGATTGTGTCCTTAAAGGGATATGGCAATAAAAATTATTCCTGTTTTATTGAAAAGAAAGTTTACACTTCTTATGCATATCCAAAATGGCGGATGGAAGATTATTCCATTCGAAAATATCTTCTTCTCAACAAAACATAAATAATTTTTATTGCCATATCCCTCTAAGGACACAATCTCTAGTTATTCCTAAATCCCTCGTGGTATATAAATTTATACTTGCACAGGATGTAATTCCTGTTACATTGGTGAAACCACCCGTCATCTCGCCACAAAGATCAAAGAATACACCTCCATGCACTGACAAAAACTGACACGTCTACAAACACCTACAAAACCCTAACTGCAAATCTAATCACATCCGCTCTGCTTCACTATCCTAGACACTGCTAACACTTCCTTCTATCTCAAACGTAAGGGCCGGGGCTCTGTATATACGCAAACATAAACCAGATCTTACCAAACAGATTCAGGATTTTAATACTATTTTTCAGTTATAATTTTTGTCTGTCGTCTTGTTCTACTTATTATATGCATATCTTGTATCCTACTATTTTGTCAATCATTGTTGTTTAAATAACCGATTCATTCGCACTGAAGATGGTTTAGATATGCAAATAATACATATCAAAATAGCCATAATTTGAAGATTTCAGGTCTTTCAAATTTCAGAAGCAACTATCTCCTTAGGAGATGAGACTTAGAATTTGTGTTTTGTATTTAAACAATATAATGTAACGAAAAAAGCAAGATTGTGGCGCATATATATTGGCATAAAATTACGTCCATCTGCTGTTTAGGCTTTTAATAGCATGCTATTATGAAATCAAAGTTCCATACATTGTCTACGTATTGAGAAAAAAATTTTGAATCGCGCGACGCGGGGATTAAATCAAACATGCGCGGATGTGATGGTTCTACGGGCAAGTTGTATAGACACAAGATTACATAACAAGACCAAGTAATATGAAATGTGGGCGATAAAAACGACGAGTTTTAAATGATTATATGTCATAAATGTGTGGTATTTTCAAATTTATAACTTACTATTGAGAAAATCCTATATCACTGGCTCACAATTGTGCAAAATTTATAATTGGGAAAAATATAATCACTGGTCCACAATTGTGCATTTCTACTGATAAATATATATCGCTATCAAAGTAAAAACTATTGAATAATTCATTTAATTATTGAATAATTAAAATAATTCAATTTTTCTTCTAAATACGCACTCTGCAATCTTTTGACAGCTCATCATACACATCTGACAGCTGTGAAATGGCCATTTTGAGGCTTAAAGTATGCGTAAGGTTGTTAGTTCTGACGTTTTGTATTTACCGTTTGCAAGCTTCAAATTTTTGTGCAAGTCGTATTTTGTTAAGCATTCGTAGTGTCGGATATAGAGAGCTTATTGGAATTTCCATCTAGGTATATACTTTTTGATATAGGCACACGCACTATATAGATAGATTGCTATATTTGTAGTTGTAGTGTTAGAGCTGTGCTATATTCGCTGTGCATGCAGTGCCTAAGAGGTTTTCGTCAGGCCTGTTGTATGTGGAACAACCTAAATTCAATTTTCCGACAGTTCTTTCGAAATAACGGATACAGCGTATGGTACCAACAACAACTTGTACATTACGATGTAAATCCTAGCGGTTTAGCGATTAATATAAACAAAAACATATATTATTAATCACATAGCATGCGGCAAGCGATGCGGATTTTTACCGTGTGTCACAGCAAGTATTGCACGCGTTTTCACTGAGTCAAATGCATGTTTTTAAAATTGATTTTGACGTTCCAGTCTGTTTAAGATGTTTTTTCTACTGACCGCAATTATATCCGAGCACTCTCGGCTCTTCATAATATCCGTCTCCTTTCATCTCTTTATACCATCAAGGTCTTTGTTGTGTTTTATTGAAAAGCGTGTACTGAAACTGTTTCTTTTATGTTTACGTTGAATGTTTTACCAGGAAATTTGATCAAACGCTTGTCACAAACACTTAAAAAACCCAAGTATTGAACAATCATGTAGTTAAACTTGGTATCTATATTAATACAGTTTTACAGGTAAACAATATTGTTTGAATATATTATAGATGATAAATTTGGGGAAATGTGAATATGTGGTTCTTTCGTTTAAAACAGTTCTTTCGTCTTTTAAGAAACTTGCCTCGTATTATTTCGTTTCGACTATATTCAAAGTTTTCAAAAATCTTCGACCTTTCCCTCCGAAGATTTGAATATATATGAAGCCCTTGGTAAAATTATGTGTTGCCATGTAAGCCAACTAATAGTCTTGTTAAATTAAACTTTACAATTTTAAATATAAAAACTAAAGTGGATAGTTTTAACAGTTCTGTTTTAGCAAACATGACCGATATCCATATAATTGTTTAGGCAGTCTATTACCTGCTTTTAATTTGTATATTATACAACGCATTAGTGGGACGGTTAATAAGCGTATTACTGCATACGTATTAATTTTATAATTTTATGAACGGAATGAGGCCAATAGCTGTACCTTTTTACAATTCTACCTTCCCCCCACCCGCAGAAAAGAAATATACGAGTTTCCCTTTAAATAGCCCTTTCAAACGCTGAGGAAACATACCTTTCGTATTAAACAAGAAAAAAGCTATTTTTTATTCATTTTTTTTTGTTAGAACGTTGCTTATTATAACAAGATCATATATGTGAGCATGCATTCACATGGAAAGATACAAGTTTTTTTCATTCAATGTTTTATACGATTCTATAGTCCTAAAGTCCATATAAAGTCCATTCTACTTAGATGTGCTGGATTTCAATTACTCGTCATCCAAAAATTCATCTTCACTTTTATCATTGCATTTTTTGGGTTTGCATTGAAATTCTAAATTTGATGATGTGAACTCGTTGCAGTCGATTCCACCATCTTTGTTCTTGTCCACTGCTTCGAAAAGTTTCTTCCCATCTTCGTGTAGTTCTGTGACTGTCTTGAACTCTTGAAGGCTAATCGATTTGTCGTTGTTGCCGTCGTACTTTTTGAAATCGCAGGGGAAACCAACTTCGACCTCGTTTTGCCGGCCAACGGACCGCTTGCGGCCGCAGTAATGCCAGGCTAAGTAACAGGTTCGTACTTGCAGCTCATGAAGAGTGAGAAGGCAGCATTGTGGGTAGAAATACACCTTCCTTAGGACACACGTTTTTCTATAGCAAAAGCGGCCTGACGCAATTCCTGCTATAGCCAGCATAAACAAAGTGAAGATTGCAAGTTTCATCGTTATTCTTTCGGCTAAGAAAAGATTGGAGGCGACAACGATTTGAATTGTATACCAGGATTAATTAAATCAAAATATAGTTGTACGCGATAGAACTTGATTTTGTTTAAGTCGAATAATGCATGTTGGTAGCCCAAAGGTTACTGTCCGCCTTAAAATGAGTGATAAATTAGATTTCTTGTTTAAATTAGAGTTTAACTTGTCTTGGCTAAGGATTCGTATGTGTGTATAAAACTTTGCCACAAATGAAGCAATTTCCGTCGACGTTATAACATTTACTCAAGTGTAAAATTAAGAAATGTTATGAAATTCCTACACATAGTGAAATTAAATGAATCTCCTTCGTACAAAGCAGTTTTTTTGCAGTATTATAATAACATATATGTTGAAAAGCTAACACTTTACTGGTCTTAAAGTAATGCTAATATGAAATTTCTCTTTGATGGAAGATTCAATAACATATATAGCCTTAAACTCTAGATGGAACGAAATCTAAAATCTCGGAAAATCGAAAGTTATCCATCAACTAAGCTGCAAATTGAAATTCTGTGACAGACTAATATTCTTTTCTATAACTAAACTGATATTTTACAATGGATACCACAAAACGTGAAAACCCTTTACTGAATTTTCAATTTTTTAACAACTTACTTTAAACTGAAATGGCAATAATTTGTGAAGATTTCACCCAAGTTGTAAAGTTGTTCTTTGAAATCCAAAAACGTAGTATATGATACTCATGGTATATGAAACTACTATGATATATAAAACGTAGTATATGTATATATAGGTTGTCTCCGAATATGTTTGTCTTCCAAATTTAAGGCCAACACTGAATCTATAAACTCACTTGTCTCGATACTCATGATATATGAAACTACTATGATATATAAAATGTAGTATATGCATGTATATATACGTTGTTTCCGAATATGTTCGTCTTCCAAATTTAAGGCCAACACTGTATCTATAAACTCACTTGTCTCGATACTCATGATATATGAAACTGCTATGACTATGATATATAAAACGTAGTATATGCATGTATATATACGTTGTTTCCGAATATGTTCGTCTTCCAAATTTAAGGCCAACACTGTATCTATAAACTCACTTGTCTCGAAATGTGGAAAGCCTTGAATATATGAACTCATGCCAGTAATGGGAAATTCCCATATATATATGCATGCCCTTTTTGCTTTCCATGTAAGTAGCTAGTAGATAACGTATATAAAAATAATTATATTAACTTAACAGACTATTCGTTTACAAATAAGTTTAACTTACCTTTAACTGAAATAATAAAATTTGCTGTGTCGATATCTTCCAATTCCAAACGTTGTCTTTAGGACTCAAAGGTTTGATCTAAAGTGGTCTGCACGGTAGCCTTGCTTTTATAATCAACTCCCAGACTTGGCCCCATTTTTTCGAAAGGAATTTTGGGACAGCATAAGGAATTTTGCTAAGACGGAAACTTTAACGGAGTGGCCATAATTGTATTCTCCTGGACGGATGTGGTTATTTAACAATATAAAAGCTATATTTAACATTAAAACTATTTCATTGACGCAGAGAATTTGAAAGGAGCACGAAGCCGAAAAAGGATAGAAGAAAGTTTTAATTAATAATCCCTCCTGTAGTTTATTTTCCTTGTAACAATGATTCATATACAAAGTCGGCATTTTGAACAAGCGCTTTCATTAAGTCTAGAAATTAAACTAAAAGTCATTTAGCCCCGAATCTTATTTAAATATCCTGTACTTCTCTAAATCTGAAAATGCAGAAATTTAACAAACGGAATTTTCCAGTTTCGTACCATTCGGAGTTAGGATTTATATATTGGCAATTTTATATATCTGAACAGCCCTGAAGTTCACTTTTATTTGTATCTGAAGTTCACTTTTATTTGTAGAATATTGGCTGCGATCGATTTGCACAAAACGTATGTATTTGCATGCGATTAGGATAAACACCGCTTTACTAATATTTTTACATCAGACGTCGCTAGATCAGACATCGCGCTTTACGTAAACTTTAGTCGCGATAGTCTAGTTCTCTGTTTGATTTTATGGCCCATTTATATAAAATTAAGAAGTATATAAGTAGGATTTTTTCCCTATCTGAAGAGTATTTCAGCTTGAAATCAACATGTATTCTATTTGGTTTACCAGCTTCAAATATGATACCTCATGTATAGCTTTGTAAAAATGATTTGCATCATTTGCATGTATTCCCATACTTGCACGTATATCAAAACTAAACGCACATATATGACATTAAACCGACTAACGTAAAAATTATGGAAGAATAAACGCGTTTGCAGACGTCATATTTCAACTTTCGCATTCGACGAAACGAGCAGGATTGTGGTGCATATATTGAAATCGAAGCTCCATACATCGTTTATGTATTGACAAAAATAAATTTAAAATCGCGCAACGGGGGTTCAATCGAACATGCGCATGTGATGCTTCTAGGGGCAAGTTACGTAAGTCACACAATACAAGATCAAGTAATATGAAATGTGCGCGATCAAAACGACGAGTTTACAACTAGCTACCACCAGCCAGCAAAAAACGTCAAAAGTCTAAATGAAAATTATTTTAACTTCTATATATGTTGTTAGGTATATTAGTTTAACTCTTCCGTTCTTAAGATTTTAAGCGTACGTTACATCTTATTATATATAGACAACTGACTTCCTCATGTTAAACTATTGTATGCAAAGCTGTGTTATACTCGTGTATAGATCGACATTAAATTAATTCGCAATTGTTGTAATGCATTAATTTGTTTGCTCCTTCATTTGTTTGGGTATTTGGAAGCATAGCTGCGTCTTTACAAGTCAAATTTGCGCTGCCAGTTTTCTGGAAGAACCTGATTATGCGCGCACGCACGCATCCACCCAAATAGTTCCTTTTATTCATTTGGTGTCATTCATTCATCAATCGTAACTGATTAAACTGTCATCCCCAAAAGTCATCCCCAAACCTACAGTAGCGAGGTTCAGATTTGATTATCACTACGACTACCGCAACCTTTGAGGGAATATAAACCAATCAAATGCGATAGGTCAACCAGACTAACCAATCACGAGCTTAATAGATTAGCGAGAGGTAGCGGTAGTGGTAGTCAAATCTGAACCTCGCTAGCATATCGAATGGCACAAGGACAAACCCGGAAAATTCGGAATGATTGGTAAATTTAATTTCCCCCCTTGGTTGCTAAACGTTCAATCACTTAACTATAAGATCATTCAAGATGCACTATTGCACCTTTTTAAAGCTCATATTTGAAGGTAAGGAATTATGCGTGCATGTCATGTCTAACGACAGCAAAATGAAAAAAAATATTTTATGCGGACGGTGCGATGTTGTTTCAACTGACTTTTATATCGAGATGTGTTTCCAAGTATTTTGTATAATTGAAAATCAGCATTACAGGCTATATATACTGGCAATATCGGTACCTACAAGGCTTCGTAATGTGATAAGGGTATATCTTATAACACCGCAGAAATTGGTGTTTATCAAGTTTCGACCTTTCGAAAATTTTATCACTGGGTCACAATTGTGCATTTCTGTATCAGTATCAAAGGGAAGACATGCATGTATAGCCTTATTTTGAAGTGCTCTATAACTATAGAAGTAGACATGCATAGATAAACACACTTAAGTCCATATCACGCACGATTTCGATCAGATTTATCAGTTGAAACACTAACACTACATATATACGTCTTTCCTATATTTACGTTGAATCTAAAACATCTATCGTGTATAAACCAATAGACGATACCAGCTATAGACTATAAATCTTGTTTAAGACAAGAAGAGCGAATTCCACACTACATGCAGAGCAATGTGTCCATGAATGAAAGATAGATACTGCAAATTTCCTAACTTATCTACCACAGTCAAATTTGAATTTGCCCAATTGTAACTTTAGTTCTTTAATCTAAAAAATAGGCAGTTGAGGATCTTTTAGAAGCAAATTAGCTAAAAATAATTTCAGTATATAGCTTTATACCATTTTTAGAACAAAGTCATAGTCTTCGCAAACAATTAATCTTGTTGCGAAACCTTTTATGCGGATGTTCAATTTTACCCCGTGGTGAGGCTTATAATTTGTTGTTCTGCTTCAGAACAATGTACCTTCAGCACTTAATGAAGTCTTGAACGTACTAATTGTCTGCAGACATCGTTTACACAAGCCGATATGAAACTCTACCGTTAGGAACACGAGTTGTTGCGAGAGTTTTTTCGAGTTTTTCCTTATCTCAAGCAACATTTTCAGGTGTTTAGATATAATATAATATAATATGCAGATATATTTATATATAATGTCATAATCATTGAAATTTGATGTTTTGTTGTCTGGCTATACTGTGCATGTATAAACAACAAGTCTAGTAAGGAAACACAGTATTGCTTTTAACAATGCTTGTCTATACATGATACCGTGCTTTAAAACAGACCTTTATTCACACGATTGCTCATTAAATGAAGCGCAAGGGATTTAAGATCACTAGAGATATGGCAATAAAAATTATTTCTGTTTTATTGAAAAGAAGATTTACACTTCTTATAGTGCCGTATATGTGACGTAAGGCATATCAGAGCAAGAATATGCATATCCAAAATAACGGATGGAAGATTATTTCATTCGAAAATCTTCTTTTCAACAAAAATTAAACAATTTTTATTGCCATATCCTTCTAAGGACACAATCCCTAGTGATCTTTACTCCCTCGTGGTATATAAATTTACTTGCGCAGGTTGTAATTCCTGTTACATTGGTGAAACCACCCGTCATCTCGCCACAAAGATCAAAGAACACACCTCCACTGACAAAAACTCACACGTCTACAAACAACTACAAAACCCTAACTGCAAATCTAACTACATCCGCTCTCCTTCACTATCCTAGACACATGCTAACACTTCCTTCTCTCTCAAACTCAAGGAGGTTATGTACATACGCAAACATAAACCAGATCTTAACAAACACGTTCAGCATTTTAATACTATTTTTCAGTTATAATTTTTGTCTGTCGTCTTGTTCTACTTATTATATATCTTGTATCCTGCTATTTTGTCAATCATTGTTGTTTAAATAACCGATTCATTTGCACTGAAGATGGCTTATATACTCAGATCACATGCAAATAATACATATCAAAATAGCCATAATTTGAAGATTTCAGGTCTTTCAGATTTCAGAAGCAACTTATCCCTATCTCCTTAGGAGATGAGACTTATAGAATTTGTGTTTTGTATTTAAACAATATAATGTAACGAAAAAAGCAAGATTGTAGCGCATGCATATATATTGGCATAAAATTATGTCCATCTGCTGTTTAGGCTTCTAACATGCCATTATGAAATCGAAGTTCCATACATTGTCTACGTATTGAGGAAAAAATTTTGAATCGCGCGACGCGGGGATTAAATCAAACATGCGGATGTGATAGTTCTAAGGGGGGCAAGTTGCATAAACACAAGATTACATAACAAGACCAAGTAATATGAAATGTGGGCGATAAAAACGACGAGTTTTAAATGATTATATGCCATAAATGTGTGGTATTTTCAAATATATAACTTACTATTGAGAAAATCCTATTACTGGCTCATAATTGTGCAAAATTTATAACTTACTATTCGGAAAATCTAATCACTGGTCCACAATTGTGCATTTCTACCGATATATATATATATATCGCTATCAAAGAGAAAACTATTGAATTAGTTCAAAAAGTTCAATTTTTCATCTAAATACGCATTGTGCAATCGTTTGACAGCTCATCATACACATCTGACAGCTGTGAAATGGCCATTTTGAGGCTTAAAATATGCGTAAGGTTGTTAGTTCTGACGTTTTGTTTTTACCGTTTGCAAGTCGTATTTTGTTAAGCATTCGTGGTGTCGCGGATATATAGAGAGCTTATTGGAATTTCAATCTAGGTATATACTTTTTGATATATAGGCACATGAACTATATAGATAGATTGCCATATTTATATAGTATAGTTATAGTGTTAGAGCTGTGCTATATATTAGCTGTGCAGCGCCTGAGAGGTTTTCGTCCGGCCTGTTGTATCTGGAACAACCTAAATATAATTTTCCGACAGTTACTTCGTAATGACGGATACAGCGTATGGTACCAACAACAACTTGCTCGTTACTTTGATGTCAACAGCGGTTTAGTGATTAATATAAATAGAAACATATGTTAATCACATATCAGCTAGCGATGCGGATTTTAGTCATTTTCACCTTGTGTCACAGCAAGTATTGCACGAGTTTTTACTGAGTCAAATGCATGTTTAATTAATTTTGACGTTCTAGTATAATTAAACATGCGTTTGACTCAGTAACCTTGCGAAACCTTTT